TTTTATCAGAACTGATAGAAGCAAAGTCAGACAGGCTACGCTCGGCGATCTTTGTTTCTTCGAACACGAACGCTATCAGTTTCTTACACTTTCCTCCTCCTTTCCACTTCTCACTGATAACATCAACTACTCAGAGATTCATTAATCTTTCGTTCAGAAGCTTTCAAAATTTACCTCGTACGAAAGCTTACCTAGTCTAGTATGTAAGCCTACAAATATTTCGTGAACGTCGCGGTGCATATATCTCGGAAATACTGACCAAGGGAGAACGAGGTATTTCTGAGGACCAAAAAAACGCATTTTTTGTTTGCTAGCGAATTTTTCGAGGGAAACATTTCGTAGATTGTATTTTGTTCTAAAATTTTACATAAAAATTTCAAATTTCGGGAACGAGCAGTCATGGACATCACTAGCAGTAGTACATCCTTGGAGCAGTGAGAGCTATCAGCGTGTGGGTATCCCATATTAGTGATGTCATTGAAATGCGCTCGACGGATTCAGCTCGGTGAGGCTCTTTGATCCTGAACTGCATACCTCTCGTTAATACCCATCAGTCACTGGACTTGTTTTTTTTTGTGACCAATGCTGAATTACCTGGCGCCACTTCTCCAAAGCCGTCGCATAATCCATTTTCTTGAGCGAGTATCGTAGACTAAAAGCGCATTGTGTCTGCCAGTTTATTAACAGTGTGCTTGGAATGCTTGGTTCAGCCATAGCGGATCTGGGGAGGGGCAGGGGGCGACGGGAGTACAGGTATCAGCGCCACAAAACCCTGGGTCTAAAGCTAAAACTAAAGCCTAACATAACTCTAAACTAAAGTAACTCTAAGTAGCAGTGTTACAACTCTATTCCTAGTTTTTGCATAATTCCCGATTGAGGAGGAGGAGGACGGGCTTTCCCACCCACCTTTCGTGTCCCTCCAAAAGTCCGTCCTGGATCCGCCCATGAGTTCAGCTGTGTTAATTCATAGTTTGGTCCTTCAACTGTGTGTAACCGGCAACTTTTTCAGTTTTTAACTGACCAGTGCTGTTAAACTGCGTGCTGTGGTCATCCTCTTGCTGCTGTTGGTATAAATAAACTTTTTTTTTAAATCTCAAAAGTATTTTTGCATTGTCCAGTTGAATCTTCACAGTACCGGGAGAAGCTGCGAAGCAATGTTATTACTACATTCAGTAGCAACAGCAGCAGCAACACCAGCAGTAGCAGCAGCAGTAGCTTTATTATTTGCATTCTTACTGCAAATTGCACTTGCTGCTTTACCGGCGGAGTACGATTCGGCATTTGCTCGTTTTGCATTCGAACATGCAGCTGCTTCTTACTCAACAAATCCATTGAAATGCATCGGAAAGTATGGCGGCACATCGATCGTTCGTCAGGATACCGTACTGTGTGATCATTTCCATGATAAGGTGCGAGAATTTTTGTATTTATTATTTAGCGAGACAAAATCTGCTTGCTTCATTTTTAACACTTTTCCCGTTCTGGACTATGTTTAATTCATGGTTTAACATATGCTTGTTATCGGAATCTGAGTAAATCACTGTTGATTGTCCACATGTAATAATCCTGAACAAACACCCCCCAAATATCTTCTGTTCCAATAGCCATGAGATCGTCATTGCTGTTATTGTGAGAACGGAGAAAGCAGAGAATCTTGAAATTCCGGTACTTTGGATTTATGTGTTCATCCACTGGTTAGTAGAAACTAGAAAACATTTGGTCAGTTTCTTTTGCTGTTTTAGTGTTGGTATTACATCTCTGAATCACCGAATTACATTGTTGTTGCGTTTCGTGGAACACGCTCCAAACTGCAACTAATTGCTGAAATCCTGGCCAGCATGACGGAACCAAAAGCAAAATTCATCGGCGGTGGCTCCGTGCAAAGATATTTCCATTCAGCGTTCGAGTCTGTTTGGCCTGACATGTGGCACAGTTTGCGTAAATTGACCAGAGTAAGTAGTGTGTGTTTCCGGGATTCAACAATATTCCAGGATTCAAACGGAAAAAAACTTTTTTTGAGATTTCCTGAGTTGGTAGGATATCTCATAGTAGTCTAGGAATGGAAATGTTTCAAACATTTCCCTTTGGAAATTGTTGAAATGATAAAATGCGGCCGCTAGAAGGCCGGTATTGTAACTTTGAAAGAAGTGAACGGTCCAAAAAAATCAAAACGTGAAACCTTGCCAAGTGCTTCTGTTGGAAGAACCAATAAGATTGTAACCGTTTCAAAGGACAAAACGAATGATAAGATCACCATTAGGCCGCCTACCAAAAACAGCTGAAAAAGTTGTTTAGTTCCATAGATGGAAGAACCAAACGATGTTAAGTAGCAATTTTTGCAATTGTAGCTATTAATTATTTTTCACATTTTACAGGC